CATTCAAACTAACTCCTTGAAATTAATGTATTACAGGAAGCTAAATTGTTGCATTTCCCTTGTCTTCAAAATTTATTTTACGTTCTAAATACACTTAGCGACTAATAAACGCGTGCATATTTACATATATAAGTCTCGCTTGCACGATCATGTTTCCTGCACGGTTTTTATTGTTGCGTCCGAATAATATGAATATATGAAACCAGATGCGTTTGAGCTTCGCTAACGATGCAATATTGCGTTTGAACCGATGAGACCGAAAAAATTACATGTGTATACGAATTTGGCATGTCCATTTGCGAAAGTTAGCCAAGCAAGTTTACCGCCTATAGGAGCTAAACAGCAGGATACAAGTAGGAAAGAGTTAATATGTATCAATTCTCTAGATACTTACCAAAAAAACAATCGCCTTACGTGTTCCCTGGATTGGTTTTAATAACGTCGACCAATATTAACTATGAGTCCAGAGCTTGTTTTGAGTAGAGGACTTGTTGTTAGCAAACGAGAAATACCAGCTATGCATGTGTCGTCTTTGCTAGTGGATTATGCATGCAGTCTTATGCAAATATTGTTATCCATCAAATAAAAATCATCGAAGAGTTATTTAATTTCCAAAATAGGCTTTAATTAATTAAGGTCCTTCTACTAAAAGCTCAGATATATAACATATTTAACATTTGTCTTCGAGAGCAATAATTAGGTTTGTTTGCCTTAGAGCTTCAATGCCCCCGATTGATATTCGATTTCATGTTATGTATAAAATGGAAAAATACATGGAAGATATTTCAGGAAAATTAATATTCCTTCGGTTCAAAGGGTTACTTGGTTACGCTACTGTAATGAACGAGCGCATAGTTGTATTTTCGGTAAGTATAAGTGGCAGTTCAGCGATGAAGTTATTCACCACGAATTTTCGTAGGCGAGAAACGGATTTTAAAATTTCCTTGTTTCATGCGAACTTTTGCGCAGCAAATTCACAACGTACTGGGAGAGGAATAGTCGCGAAGGGAAGCAAGATATAACGAAAATGTCGTTTTCGACCTGTCATGAATGAGAAACTTTCCACGCATCCATAATTATAATATCATGTCTTTTTCATGCCGAAGATTGGGCAGGAAAATCTCCCACCCCCTTTGCCTTGAGCACACAACTTGTTTTAGAGCTGTGAAAGTTTCATTTAGCAGATGATAAATACTAGCTGTTCTATTTAGTTTATGCGATTAATTATACATGTGGTCTGTTCCGTTAATAATTAAGTGATGAATATTATTTTAAAGCGTTATTGTCAACCTTCCCGATTCTGTCCACGTGAAAGGTCAATGTTCATAAGACCTCGTGGCAGCTGCTCTGTTTAAACAGATCTGCCCACAAGATAAACTGTAGGAATCAGGTCAATTAAACATGACATCTTCACATACACAATGACAGCTAGTTCAACAAACTGTCACAGTCTAATGGAAGGAAGTAATCAATATTTACTTTATTTTGACATGTGCCCAAATATCCATTTTCTCCCCTAATTAGGCTTTTAGTAATATTTACTTGCACGAGCTTTTAAGCTGCCCTCAAGCAAACATCTTTGTGTTATTTTATTTTTAGCCTAAAATTTTATGTATAAGTAATAATGTTTCGTAACAATAGTATCAATTCGTAATATTGTCTTAGTAATCAGTTTGTGTATATTAGAACGAGGCGATAAGATCTGGTATATACGTAACCAGTGAAATAGTGGCCGGGCTACATGATATGATATTACTAGTGGATGGGGAAAGTAGTGGAAAGTAGTCTTGATGATCGCCTTGAATCTTCCAGTATTTTTTTGCACGCGCTAGTTATCTTATCCTGATTTTCTTCAATTGGGATATATAGTTTTACTGACTCGCAATAACAGTTCCTAAGTGTTTTCGGAACACGAAAAACAAGTTTGTATATTTGCTATGGCATTGCGAAGCAAATCGTTCACCTTTCTACACGTGGTCGAAAAAGAACAACGTGGAGAGATGGATATATGGTGCACAGTGGGTTACGAAGGGATCCATCAATAACGCGGAGGTCTGGACGTAAATTAATGATGCGTCCGACTATCAATGGGGAGTCCGACTGTCTACGGAAAAAAAAATTGCGGCGACGCTATGTGACCGCTGAAAAACGTGAGTTGCTTCTAAGTTTGGGTGTTTCATGCAGTAATCCAAGCATGCTGGTGAAAGCAAACGAAATGGAAGTTGTTATGAAAAATAGCGGTATCAAAGATGAAGCAATCAGCCAGATCGAAGACGAAGCCAACGACGTAACAGCCAGGGAGACAGAAAACGAAGCCGCAGAAGAAGAACCTCCGGCTTCGATGCCTAAGAATGTTGATAAATTCGTCACTCCCATGGGACTGTCAATATCGAAGGTGTTTTTGAAAATATCTTAACTGAATTAGAAAGCTTAAAGTCTGAGTCAGAAAAACAGCGAAAAAATCATTAATCTCAAACATGGTGATGCCTGTCAGTGTCTGCAAGAACAAATCGTGTCGCTGAGAAAGGAAAATCAAAAACTCGCTGAAGAAAACCAACAGCTTCACGAACGAAACAATGCATGACTTACCATATCGTATGTCTAATTTGAATACCAAAGTGAAAGATTTCGAAAATGAAAAGCAAAGCTTAGTCACGTTGAAAATACTTCATGAAGACTACGCAACGCACAACCAGAATTACAATCAAATCTTTTGAAGATTTTAACAGTTATTCAGTACTTCAAATTGAAAGCTACAATGATGATCTCAAAATAATCATCGAGGGCAATGTCACCTCTGCTGAAATGGCGTTAAAACCGAGATTGGGCAAAAGACAAAATATAAGTAAATCCAGAGGTAATGGCGGAGCTATTTCGAAAGAACCTGCTGAGTCTACAAGAGTTTCAAAAACTGAGGATAAAAAAACTTATATTTATTGCTGGTGATTCCATCGTGCAGCATGTTCGCGGCTGCGAATTGTCAAATGCGAAGCAACGCGTAGCTGTAGAATCGTTTTCTGGAAGTAAGGGCAGGAGAAATGGCTGATTACTTGAAACCTTTGAATCGCAATACGCTTACTGAAATAATAGTGCATGTGGGCACTAATGACATCACAGACGACTCAAAATTAGCTGAAGTGGTTGCTGCACAGAGGAGGTTGGACAGCCAATTAGGCAAACATCTCGACCAATCATATTGCGCCATTGTCCTCATCTCGCACGAAGCTTTTGGCGTCGAAAATTTACATAGGGCTCATAAATATCGATATTTTTTATATTGTTATGCAAGTTTTTTTGGAAATTTCACGCGATACTACTTTTACAACGGTCAATCTACCCATTGGAACGGTATCTTAAAAGGTAAGTGTCATTTTCCAGTTTATTTTGACCTCTCACTTAGGCGCTATGCCGTCGCGATGTAATTTAATGGCGTTTCTGTCAACAATCTTTGAAGACAACAATCTCAAATCTCCATGGTTCGATTTCGCTATTTTTTTCACGATTAGTTAAATAAAAGTAAAAATCTTTAATTCTATCCGGCCGGCCCCCCTCGGCCACTCAGCCGTTTTCGAGATATTGACTGTTGAATATAGCCCTTTGTAAAATATGCTGCCTTGTCACTCAAATCAATAATGAACTGCTATTTCTAGCTTTTTTCCAAAGAATTTGATATACTACAGAAGTTTCGATATATTATGGATTTATATGTATTGCTTAAAGTATGTAAGTAATTAAAGCACTTCTGTAACAATATTTATTGCTGAAATTTATTGTTTAGCTGATGTTTTCGACTTGAGATTCGTGATTTGGGCTAGTGGATTCTATTTTTGTCAATGATTTTGTCTGCAAGAATTAAGCATCATAATTAAATTTGGAGTTCTAAACTTGTTCACCACTCTCTTAAATGTTATTGATATGATGACTTCTGGATTTTCAAAATTAACCCGGCGACAACATAAACAAGAACAAGTATTCATCCACCTGTTTCAAAAATGGCTGGTAAAACTTAATCCTGGTGTAGATGCTCTTGAATGAATTTGTCCCTCAAAATGTTCTCCCATTTGTTGCCAAGGCGATGTCTGAATTTCATGGTGGTCAAAAAGACAATCTGATTTATATCGCTGCTCGATGCTTTGGAGAATAATGCCATAGAGAACATGGTCCTAAAATGTCATTGGATATAATGCCCTTTATAGCAGTGAAGGCCCACTTGGCCTTTTTTTAACAGTATTTTGTATAAATGCTGTTACACAACTACTTCAGATAAATTTTGAGAAATTGTTGTTCTTATACACCTATCAATGTTAAGCCCCACAAGTGGGGATGGACATATGTGGGGCATTTGACTTTTTGAGCAAATTTTCAATCAAATGCCCCACTGTTGGGCAATAGATATTGGTCAAATACCCTACATTTTGCAATGAACTGCAATAAACACTATATTAATAAAAGTCATTTTGGTTCAAATTGCCCTAACTCGGGCCCAAAATCCTAATCAAAATCCCTAGGGTGTGGATGCAATTAATGATCAAATACCCCACATTTGGGACTTAACATTGATAGGTGCATTATATGCAGGTTTGTTTTTGTATTCTCATATAATGTACCACAAAGTATCAGGAGCATGTTATTGTGGGATCTTTGATCAATATGTATATAAATAGACATATTTTTGTTTTATTGTTGCATTAATTTTAATGAAAAATTACTCACAAAGTTGGTCAAATGAATGAATAAACTATTCATTTATTCATTTAGTGTACAGCACATGTTGCAATTATGTACTTATTTGCATGAGTGTGCATGACAGACATTGTTTTAATTGCACCCACTTGTGATTAACCTAGTTTTTGTTTAAAAATGTTGACAAAAAATCTAAAAAGTTAGTCAATTGAAATAACAGCATTCCTATAACTAGCTAAACCTAGTCAGTTGCTATTATATCACAAACATCTGTCAACGTACACTCATGCTCTTTTTTACCATTTGAGTCTCCCACTCACCACATTACTTTATGAAATTTTTGGATAAAATCCTATTTTAAAAAAGTCAACCCTATACTTGATAATTCAATTCAATTCAAAAACATTTATTTAAACACGATATAAAAATAGCAGCAAATTGCTGATGTGGTTGTGTGTGAACAAAGACCTCTAAGATATCTGCTGCGGCAATTAGTGGGCGCAAATACTCGCATAGTTCAGAAGCAATATAACCAGTTGTACAATAGATGTGTTCAACCAGTTCTATATAGTCCAGATCAATTGCACTTGGGTCCATTGGATTCAATTGGTCTGGCCATATTCTTTAATACATTCACTTGTTATCTTGTCCATGAAGAGCAAGGTATATTGCCTGTTCCAAATTATGTTGGTAGTTTTTTCTGATGAGCAGCACTGATGCACTTGAATGGTACAGCATGGGTGATTTCGTTCTTGTCACTTTCATCCTCATCACTTAACTGGTCACCACTTTCTGCACTATCACCTTCATTACCATATCCATCCTGACCAGGTTCAAGACCAGCCAACCACTCAAGTAGATCTCTTTCTACAAAATCATAACAAGAAAATTTTTATTTTATTATTTTATACATACACTGTAATCTCTAAAATTAGCAATCTAATAGAAAAGTGTGTCACTATTTACAGTAATATTAGAACAACACACAAATATGGCAATATTATTTACAGACGAAAATAGAAAAATATATAACTACTGTATGCACATATACTGTATGTAAAAATCTATCCACAACTAGATGCAAACAGGCATCATACTTCAGCAAAAATTTGTTAAACAATTTAACTCAAAACATACACATAATATATCACAGTAACAAAGTACATAGACACGCACACAATAGGGTCAAACTACAGGCAATAAACACAAATATTACGCAATAATTTTTTACATTGTAAAAATTCTGAAATTACAGTACAGTACAGTACACGAATAAAAGCAAAGCGGAAATTTGACTATAAAATAACAAGATAACTGTAATGCATTGTAGTCGACCAACCTTAAATACTGCGCTTGTTTTCACGTTGATGATACACGGAGATTTAACGCCATTAACTTAGAAAGAAGAGCCTTGCTATTGGAATTTGGGAATATTTATATAAACACAGTTCCTTCGGTCAGACGGATTATTTATAAACTAAACTAAAATGACAACACGTTCCATGCAATTTAAAAAAAGGTAAACTTGGTATAGTAAAACACAAGTCATAATGAGGATCGCAACAATACAGCAATATACTGTTTTCACAGATTATCTGACACTCTTGTCGTTCGAAAGCTTCCATATTGGTTTAGTCAGAGAGATGTTCACTCCTCGACAGT